GGAGAAAGCAGTTCTTACACCTCAAACGCCATTCAATCTAGCTAGAACAAAAACCAAATGATGTATTTCTCCCTTGATTCCAACTCTTAAGTGTCAGCTAAAATTTAAAACTCTTGTTTTACTCTGAAAGCATTCTGTAAGAAAATAGTTTGAACCAGGCGTGGCGGCACACAGACCTGTAATCCCAGCACTCGGGAGGCTGAATAGAAGGATTACTGTGAGTTTGAGGCCAACCTGGGCTACATAGTGAGTTCAAGGCCAAGCTGAACTGTGCAGTGAGACCCTGTCCCAGTTTATGTTGCTTTTTAAATTGTAAAAAAATTTAATTTGGGAGGAAGAGAATATCTGCTGAAGATTTTCAACCTACTCTAATTCTTAGAAACATCATAGATGATGACAAAATCCATTCACCAAGTCGCTTTCCAGGACAGTTTCCCAGAACAGAAGCAGCAGTGCAGGGTGCAGAGCCTACACAAGCTGTCTGTCTGTGAGCTTCTTGGGGTCAGATGCCGTCGCCCTCTGTCTGACGCGCTCTGTCTCCTTGCGCAGTTCGACATCTCAGACCTGGTGCGCTGCATGCGGCTGCAGAGGCACGGGATGGTGCAGACCAAGGTGAGTCCGCTGCTGGGTCCTGCCCGACACTTCTGTGGGGAGCCCGCGCCGGTGCGCTCCCTTGAGCGCCGTGGAGCTTGGCAAGACTATGGCTGCAGGAAGCCGGCCTGGGTTGGAGGGCCACTGGTTGCCAGGTGAAGTGAGGCCTGCCTCCAGGGGGCGCACTGGGTCAGTCAGGTGGCCTGGAGGTGGCAGGAAGAGGATTGGCTGGTGGGTTGTGCGTGGTGTGAGACGGCCAGGAATGGGAATGGGTGTGGGAGATATAGGAAGGTAAAAGACGGGAGCAGAAAGGAAATGAAAAGCTGCTTGTAGTCCTGCTTTAAGAGATTGTTGGCTGCGCGAAAGCTGTTCACATCCCTTTTCCTAAACACGTAGGCGTGCAAACTATTGTTCACGTGTGTATTACTATTTTAAATCACATTTAACTGGGTTTTTTCACTAGTTTGCATTTAATATATTAATTTTTCCTACTTATTTTCAGCCTCATTTGTTCCTTGTCAAAAAAAAAAAAAACCCTCAGATCCCTACACCACCCACTTAGTGGCAACACAGAGATGCATTTTCAAACATCTTAGATTTCTGTTCAAAAATGTTGAAAGAAAAATTATTTTATATTGAATGTGTTAATTGTATTTTGAGAAAAAAAAAACTTTGATTTCAGTAAACACACCTTATCTCCAGTTCTTTCACTCCAAAATATTTAAAGAAAATTATTTTTAATAAGTTCTTGGGTTTTTTGTTTGTTTTTGTTTTTGTAGTACCAAGGAATGAACTCAGGACCCTGTGCTTGCCAGGCAAAAGTTCATTCTACTGAGCTATCTCCCCGCCTCCCTGGTTTTTTATTTTACCTTTAAAACATCAAGATGAGTTTTAGTAAATCTACAAGAAGTTTTGTAAGAAGCTTATTTTTCCATGCAATATTATCAGAGCATCAAAACAGAAGTGGTCCACCACCTAGAGACAAACAGCTCTGGAAGTTTCACCCCACCCTCCGGCTTTTCCCCTCTCCATTTTGTCAATTTAGTTTCTGTGTTTTTTATCATTTTTATGACACTGAGCAACTTGTGACCTGCTTTTTATAGTCCACACTTAAAATTTTTCCATACTCATAAAACCCAAACATCATTCCCTGTAGTGGTTAGAACTAGGTATGGTCATCCCCTGGTGCCGCTAAAATCAGTCTCTCCCGCCCACTCTCAACCACAGGACCAGTACATCTTCTGCTATCAGGTCATCCTGTATGTCCTCACGCAGCTTCAGGCTGAAGAAGAGCAAGGAGAGCAGCCCCAGCTTCCGGCGTGACGAGCGCGCAGCAGCCTTCCGGCCCCATGTCTCCTCCGCCTTGAGACCCCTGCTCTCCAGGCACAGAGCAGCCACACTGCGCAACGTCAGCCTGCGCACTGCTGACCACACAGGGCCGTCTCTGTACCACGACTGCAAATGTCATCTCCACAGCTGCATCCACCTCTGATAGTTCTTAAATTGTTTAAATGATCAGTGGCAGGTATTAGGGCTAAAGGTACCATTTGCTTATAGAGGACATTGTTACAAGGACATGCTGAGTCTACTTCTAATGTACCAATCTTGTTTATAGCAAATTTTTTCCAGTATTTTAATAGAGTTATTTTATAGGGGATACTTGAAACCAGTATTTAAGCTTTAAATGACAGTAATATTGGCAGAAAAAGTAGCAGATGTTTACTGTATCCATTTCTAATGTTTACTACATAGATTATCCTGTAATATATTTATATACTTTTTCATGAACCTAGAGTTATCGGCATCATCTGCATTGACGGAGTTAACTGCATCGCATGTTTGTAATGCGGCTTCTCACTTTGTAAATAAAAATGTGCAGAAACACATTTGTAGGGTTTATTCTTTTTTTTTTTTTAATATTTATTTATTTATTGTGTGTGTGTATGTGTGTGGCCAGCTCAGCCCACCAGGGGGCGGGGCTGGCGGGCATGTGGTGCTGGGGATTGAACCGCGGTCCCTGTGTTTTGCTTAGCTTAGCTTGTTCTAAGTAGGTGCTTTAGACCACTGAGCCATCTCACCAGCCCCTGTAGGGTTTATTCTTAACAGCACCCAGGCCTCTGGGAAGCCAGTTACCTCATGATGCCAGCTCCCATCCGCTCGCTTGTTCACTGTTGTGCCAGCCTCCGGCTGTGGGAGTTCCCAGGGATCCAGTACACCTTCATTAAGGGCTGACATGGCCAGGATGGGCTGCGCAGCAGCTGTGAAATCCAGTTTCCCTCTTCGACCCCCGCAAGTGATGTGTCACTCAGAATATTGCAAGTGATGCTCAGGATTCTCAGCCAACCAGAGAGTGGTCACACAGCAGCTTCCTACCTGCTTGGCTGTGCCGTAGAGGAAGGCAAACAGATCCAAGCTCAGGGGAGACGGAGTCCCGTGCCTGATTCCCTAGCCTGATTCTCAGTGTTGCCCTGTCCTGTCCAGAGACCTGGCATGCTGCATGCCTGCTCCTACCGTTGCACCAGCTCTGCATCTGTGGGCTGGAGCCACTCTTCCCTGAGCGTGGATGGCCAGGCCCTGCGCCTGGGGAAGAAGGCTCTGCAGGCAGAGGTGATACCGATCAAGGTGCAAAGCTCCTTGGTGGTGCTTCAGTCTCCACTCAAAGTGACTAAACTCTGGCAAAAGAAGCTTCACCACATTCTCACCTCAGCTGGAAGAGTTGGAGCCAACATCATAAATTGAACTCACAAAGTTTTCTATTGCTCTAAAAGCCCTTTGGAAGCCCTGTTGTAAGCCCAAGTCCTGCCTGGTCTCCCATTTACCAGCATACAAAACTAGGCCTGAAGGCTGCAGAGCCAGGACAGCTCCGAGCTCCCATCTAATGACACAGACTGGGAGCGCAAAGGCAGAGGGCACTTTCTAGAAAGAATGTGGCCGGAATGGAAATGGGGAAGAGATGCAGGTGTAGGTCTGTGACACCAGAATGGGGGCATCAATATAAACGTGCCACAACTGCCCAGGATCCGACGCCCTGCTGTGGCGGATACAATACAAGCTGCTCATTGGCCTGGGAAGCAGGGAAAGGGACAGCACCTGAGGCCCTCAACTGTCAGAGTAAGCACAGCATGGCTCTTCCTACACTTGTAGCAGCTAAGTACTAGAACACATAAACCTGAAACGTACGCCTCAAACTTACTCATCTCCAGTTTATCAAACAGTTTGGACAGGTAACTGCATGCAGGCCACTCCTTCCCACCAAGCATACAGGTGCTCTGTGGTCAGCACATGACTTCCAACATCATCATGGGGCTCCCCTGCCCAGCCAGGAGGAGAGCGCAGGGACTGCATGTGGGCCAGCTGTGTGGGCTGGGCCAGACCTGGAGGGCACACCCAGCACAGCCATGCACTATCAGCAATAGCTGGCAGCCCCACTAGGGGTAGTTGGCTGAGCCGCCAGCGTGCCACCAAAGGGGAACACGAGGTATAATGGAAGATACTTCTGAAGCCATCGCAGCTGTATATTCTAAGATGCATTCTGGGGAGAAGGTGGAGAAAGGGCGTCTTACGCCCTGCTGGAATGTAAAGTACTAGCCACTAGGGAGAGCAGTATGAGGCCTGCTCAAAACGAAAACTGGAGGGGCCGGGGAGATGGCTCAGTGGAATAAGTGCTTCCCTGACAAGTGCAAGGGCCTGAGTTCAATCCCCAGTTCCGCAAAAAAAAAAAAAACGAAAACTGGAAATAGAGTTCTGTGTGTGATATAGCTAACCCATTTCTGGGTGTAGACCCAAAGAAATGAAGTCAGCACAGCAGGCAATAGCTCCGTGCTTCTACTTACTGTGTCACTTCATAGTAGCTAAGTCAGAATCTGCCTACATACTCATCAACAATGACTGAGGAAAATACACAGTGGAGTATGATGCAGCCATAAAGAATGAAATCATTTGCTGCCAAAATAATGGAACTGGAGTTTGTCGTGTTAAAGACAGACAAGAAATGACAGGTACGATATATTCTCTCACATGGAAACTAAAACAAAAACCTGAAAGTGATTTCTAGGCATAGAGGTAAGGGGACTGTGAGGAGGGAAGGGTGGAGGTGATTAGATCTAGTTGCATGCTCCACACAAGCTTGGAAATACCACACTTAGGACCATACATACATATAATATTTTTAATCTTTTTATTTATTTGGTACAGTGTCTTGCTATGCAACTCAGAATCACAGTGTTCCTCCTGTCTCAGCCTCCCTAACACTGGGATTACAGGCATGCACTACCATGCCAGGTTTCAGTGGCCGGCTCTGGGTGAGGCCAGCACGACATATGGTACCAGGGATTAAACCGGGTCCTTGTGCTTGCCAGGCAAGCACTTAGACCACTGAGCTATCTTCCCAGCCTATATGTATAACTAATGTGCTAATTTTTTTAAAGAATGGTACCAGGATAGTTAGAGGCTTTGCAGAGCTAGAAACACAATTTTATCCTAAAATCAAAACTTTGGCAATGTCGTTAGCACAGATGATCTGAATGATGATGAACGGGACAGAAATGGGTGTTGGGATCCGATCCTGTTTGGGGGAGGCAGGCGCTGTACGGCTGAGCTGTATCCCTGGCCCCAGAGATCAGATTCTTATACCTGTGCTTCCAGATCACCTGCCAGGTCTGGCTAAAAAAATGACTCATTATCTAAATATAATGTGATAAAAAAAAAACAAGAGATAGAACAGTTTACCACAGCTGGGTTCCAGCAATCAATGCCTTACAATGCAAGTGTCCCTATTTTATTTAATTTATAAATGCTCAAGCTACCTGGTTATGGTGGGTATAAACATGACAAAGTGCAGGCCAGACTGAATAAAATTTTAAAGCCAACAAAATCTTTTTTTTTTTTTTTTTTTTTTTTTTTCCAACAAAATCTTAGTGTGCCAATTTGGGAATGCATTTGAGTACGAGTAACCAAAAATCAACCAGATGAATTTCAATGAGATTTCCTTTCCTTGGGTTAAACAGGTTCAAAAGGCTGTCCCTAGGATTGACTCCTTTAGGGTCTGGCTGTGGATGAGGCAGCTCCACCCCATACATCCCTATATCAGAAAGAATATAGCAGTATCAGAAGACAGTTTCCGAGGTGGTACAGTCCTGAGCACTACCTCGGTTCCAGACGTAGGAAGGAGAGACCAGTGGACCCTGGGAGGCAGCGAGTACTGTGCACCCCAGTTTCCAACACACCATCCTTACACCATCAATTTTTTAAGATCTTGTTGAACTAGAAGCATTTGATTTTTATAACTGTTGAGGGCAACTGCGGAAATATTTTTATTCATTTGCCCCAAAGGACCCAGATTCCAACAACAAGGCTCAGCAAACCCTCAGGCCCTGGTTAAAGTGTGCTAGACTGGGGAGAGCATGAGGCGCTCGCTGCGGGGCAGACGCGGGCAGACCCAGGTGGACAGGTGCCGCCGGAGATCACAGGAGAGGAGAGCTGGCGGCACCACCAAAGTCCTCCTCTGCGACTGTGCGGAGAGGGGACGCTGCAATAGCGCTCACTTCCCAGGCTGGCTTCCCAAGTTGTGTCTGGGCTCAGATGTGTCATCCTCCTTTATAAGAAAGGAAACTGAAGCCTAAGGGGGTCATTACTGGCCCTGGGTCGCCCCAGTGACCAAGGTAAGGGCTTCCATTCCACGTCGGCCTGGTCCAGGTCCTTCCTGCTGCGTCTGCTGCATGCAGTGGGCAAGCTCACTGGACAGCTGGCTTCTGGCCTCACGCTGTCCCAGCCCCACCTCCAGGCTTCCCAGAAGCCCCAGCTTTGAGGAGCTCAAGGTTAGCCCAATCAGTTACAATGCACTGTATCTAATTAACACTTCTTTGTTTTGTCTGTTCTAAAGATACACATCAGCCAAGCTGGGTAGCACAAGTCTATAATCCCAGTACTCAGCTGAGGCAAGAGGATCTCCATGAGTTTGAGGCCAGCCTGGGCTACACAGTGAACTCAAGGCCAGCCTGAACTACACAAGGAGACCCTGTCTCAAAAAAAGAAAAAAATCCCGCGTGGGGTGCCAAGTAGCTGATACTCCAGCGTGTCTGTAAGCCCTGTGAGATGACAGTCGTCTGGCTGGACTTCCAGGCCCTCACATCAATTTGTGTTTGTTTCTGTCTTAAAGATGCCTGTGCAGTCCTGTCCCTCATCCTGGTGAATACTAATCCTCACACGCTTTCAGAACAGAGCACTGAAATTCACCATTTAGCTATAGAGGTCTATACAGAAGAGATTTAGAAATTTATTTTTTCATAGATTCATTAAAATTCATGGTAGTAGGGGCCAGGGAGATGGCTCAGTGGAATAAGCACTTCCTTGGCAAGCGCAAGGGCCTGAGTTCAATCCCTGGTTCAAAAAAAAAAATCATGGTAGTGTTCATTCTGCACCTGAAAATCACTTCTCTTCCTCCCACTTTTTCTCCCAGTACTGTAGATTGACCCTCAGCACTGAGCTACATGTCCAGCCCCTTTATTTTGAGACAAGATCTCAGTGTTGCCAGAATGGCCTCCAGCCTGGGGCCCTCCTGCCTCAGCCTCCCAGCTTGCTGGGGCTGTGGGCATGCAGCTGTCTTCACTCACAACTGCCAGCCATGTCTGCGGTGGCCCATGCCCCACTGCCCTGTAATCCTGAGGACCAGCATCCTTCCTGCCTGTGCCTGCTGCACGCTGGCGAGCCTGCACAGATAGCTCCTCAGCCCAGTCTGCAGGTGGGTGCACGGGAGCCCACGCATGCACGCAGGGACTCGTCAGTCATGCGCCAGGTGGGCTGGTGCTTCTTCTGCGCAGAAGCCTCAAGCCTGTCACTGCTAGACCCTGGGCCTGTCTTCACAGCCACAAAGACTTATTAAAAAATTCCATAATGATCCCTGTCAGCAGATTAACCCACAAGGCATGGAGAATGCTTGCAAAATCAAGTGGTACAGCATTTAATCTCAGGTAGCACACTATTTTACAAATGAAACTAGAGGGGCTGGCAAGATAGCTCAGCGGTCTAAAGCACCTGCTTAGGCAGGTGGAGGGGACCAAGGTCCGATCCCATTCACCACTGGTCTCAGGGTAGGCTGAGCTGGCCGAACAACAAAACAAAACAAAATAAAAATAGAAACAAAATGGAACAAAAAGAACCCAAATAAAAACACATTATATGGGCTGGAGAGATGGCTCAGTGGTCTAAAGCACCTACTCGGAACAAGCTTGGCAAAGCACAGGGACCGCGGTTCAATCCCCCAGCACCACATGCCAGCGAGCCGCGCCCCCTGGTGGGCTGAGCTGGCCACACACACACAATGAATAAATAAATAAAATTAAAAAAAAAAAAAAAAAAAAAAAACACATTATGGCCGTGGATAGAGCTCGATAGCACAGCGCCTGCCTGGCAAGCACAAGGTCCTAAGTGTGATTCCTGGTACCAAAAAAATAAAAAGCACATTATGTATGTGATAAAGGTGGCATTTCTATCAGTAGAGACAAAATGAATGTTATGGTTTGTATCCAGTTGTCACCCCAAAACCTCATGTGTTCATAGGTGAGGCTTGGGGGAGGTGACAGGATCACAGGTGAGTGATACTCAGGGGTAGATGAGTCCCCTGATGAGTTAGTTTGTGGCTAAATGTGATGTTGGGAGGGAAGCCCACTAGGAGAGGCAGGGGGTGAGGGTGTGGCTGCGAAGGGCCCATTCCCCTCCTCTGGCTCCAGTCCCTCTCTGCTTCCCCCACCTCACATGAGCAGCTCTCCTCCACAGCCCACTGCCACGCTGCCTGCCTAGGAGCCAGCTAACTATGGACCGCAACCTCTACCAATTGCAGCCCAAAGCAGCCTCTCTTCCTTTAACTTGTGGATCAGGTATTTTGTCCCAGCAACAAGAGAATGACTAAGGCAAGGATTAAATATATACTCTTGGAATAATTAAGCATAAAAAATCAGATTTTTAACATGCCAAAAATTGAATTCAAAAATAGAATAAATATGTACATACTCAGACCATCAAAGGAATACAAAAACATAGGGGAAAGTATCTTTAATGATGTCAGCATAGAGAAGTGCAGGCTTACCTACTGCAGGCTGTATTCCGCACACGCTGCAGTGCATAAGTGTGTTGTGTCCCCATATGGACTCCCGAAAGGAGCTGAGTACATTTGTACAGAGTCATGTGCCATACAAAAAATATAAATATTCTAATATTTAGAATTTTTAAACATTTTAAAAGACAAACAAAGCTGAATGTGTAAAAACTATAAAACCTTACATTAGAAAAAGAAGATAAATGACAATAAGTGCTGGCCATGTGTGGGACAGACGCACCGTCACCACTGGGATTTGTTACTGTCCATAAAGTGAAACAGTGCAGCACAGACACCAGCAAAGGGCAAAGGCCCCAAGTACTCTGCTTCATGCCCGATTTTGCAAATGAGTTTCAAGGGAGGTGTTTTACAATTCCCATGGTCCAGCAAGCCTGCAGGAGCCCAGGTCCTGGGGGGAGAGGGAGCCAGCATCAGACAGCCGGGTTGGCAAGCAGTGGCAGTGCCAGTGCAGGGCACCACGGCACCCACACACAGAGCGCTGTGGATGGCTGTGACTACAGCTGGGTGAGGAGTTACCTCCTCATGTGCATGGTGACGCTTCCCTGGCTCTGCCACTGTGCAGAGTGAGGTAGGTCAGGCTCGTGGGTAGAAAGCCTTTGTGATGGCCCCCTCTGCCCTGCCAAGCAGCACAGGCATGGGCCATTCTCATGTTCTTCAAAGGACTCTGTGCACACACAGATCAGGATGCGTGTGGAGGTGTGGGTCTCTAGGGAGTGACAATACAAGCTTTTGCTTCTTGAACCCATGTTTTCTTTAACTGCCCTCAAAGCTTCCATAGTGTCTGTGATCAAAAAAGATATTCCGACTCTTCATAAGTAACAGTGGTTTGAAAAAAGAGCTCCATTTTTTGGTAAAAGCTACAGTTTTCTCCTGAGTGCCACAAGGACCTGCCCTGGCTCAAGAAGTGACATGGACCCAGGCTGAGCTCAAGCCTGCATCAGAGACCATGTCTGCCTGGGTCCTGATTCTTGTTGCATGCAAACCCACAGAAGGGTGCGGTGCCCCTGGCATTGAAGGTCCCACCCCCTGTGCACCCTCTATTCCAGGAAAGCAGGCACACAGAGTGACCCTAACCTGTGCACCCCAAAGAGCCCCCTGAAAGGGCAGAACACCTCAGAAAGTGATCCGACTGCAGCTTGCAATCTGCACAAAAACACAAACAAGTTTTCTAACACTTGATGCTTCAAGGCTCTGCCAGGGGCGTCCAGCCAGCAGTTCCCACCATCTTTCCTGGCTGCTCTGGAGGGCTGGGGCCTGTCTGGCCAGCAAGTTCACACTGATCACAAAAAGTGAGAGGGCCACTCGGCCCCGATGGCCCAGAGGTTGCAGCCAACGTTTCAGCCCCCTGCAAGAAAGCACTGGTCTCTTTAGATGTCCGCTCAGCAGGGGCCTCTGCGCAATCCCGGCTCTGCTGTCTGTGTTTGTTCTTCAGCCTCCTGTATGCCTGATACACTGGTGAGAAAATACACAGGATTAAAAACAGGGTCACCAGGGACCACGGAGAATGGCTCAGTGGGATAAGCGCTTCCCTGGCAAGTGCAAGAGCCTGAGTTCAATCCCCAGTTCCGGAAAAAAAAAAAAAAAACAGGGTCACCAAAGACTAAATGTGGGGGCACTGTATTCTTGTGCATACCCTTGGTGTCTGTTTCCACCATGTGTGTATAAACACACACAAAGAAGTTGGGGGAATTGCGGAACAAGGTGCTCCAGGCTATCAGAGTAGTTCTTGCTCTCTGGAATTGAGGCTCCTCCATCAGGTTGCTGACACCTCATTCGTGTCGTCACTCAGTGGGGCAGTCCGCCAGTGATCCTTCTGCCTCAGCTTCCCCAGTGCTGAGACGACAGGCATGCGCCACCATGCCCAGCTTCAAATGCTTTTTTTTTTTTTCCTGTATTTTTAGGGAAGGGTCTACAAGGTGTTCAGGGTCTCACTACTAGATTGGACTTGTAGTGATCCACTTGTTTTCAGCCTCCCAAGTGCTGGGATTACAGGCATGCACCACCATGCCCAGTCTCAACTGCCATCTCAGCATGCCCCAGGGATCAAACATCCCAGCCCCTGTGTCTGCTTGCAGGTGCTTTAACCCACTGAGCTATCTGGCTGGCCCTAAAACTTTGAGAAGGACTTTTTTTTTTTTTTTTATTTGCATTTCTTGAGTGATCAATGATGTTGAACATTTTCTTTTTTTTTTTTTTTTTTTTTTTTTTGTTACTTCAGGCTGCTTTAAGGATGGGTGAGGTACAGCTTTTGGAGCTGGGAATTGAACTGAGGTCCTGACTGGACTTGCCCAAGCAGCACTTTAAACAACTGAGCTATCCAGCAAGACCCCTCAAATGTTTTTAAAACATTTTTTCTATAAAATACCCACCACTTTAAAGTATCCTGTTTATGTACTTTATTGTCCACAAATACATCAGGCTAAAAATTTATCACAGGAAAAACATGATACAAGTTTGGATTTTTTTTTTTAGTTGGTAAACTGGATGGACACAGTGACAGTTCACCCACCTGTAATAATGAGCAGTCCATCCAGCAGCTGGAAGAACCCATAGGCCAGGGGGAAGTTAAACATCTGTACCAGGTCCCCAGCAGTGAATGACAGCTGAAGCATGGTGATACACATCTGAATGTTCTGAGCTCCGGTTTCTAAGGAAATTGTCCTGCACCTGGTGATGAAAACATTGGTTACGCATCACCAAGAAGGACTCTTCTCCTGCCTTCTCTTGTGGATAACAACACACATAAGCCCTGAGGTCAGGAAGTAAATGTGCTGGATTCATTCATTCAATAATTATTTTCAGGGCACCTGCTCTGCAGGGCAGTCTCCAGAAAGGCACTGTGGGCTGGACCTTGTGAACCTGCTCTGGGAATCTGGATGGAAAGAGACACACACACACACACACACACACACACACACACAAGGTTCAGTAATAACCTAAGACGAAATTTAACCTAGGGCTGGGTAATTGCTGCAAAAATCCAGACAAGCTGCAGAGTAGCTAGAAAAGCATCATAGAAGAATGAGGCTATATACTGGAGTGCAGGAAACATTCAACGTGGGAAAATTATAGAAACTAAATATCCAGGGGGATGCCAGGAGTGGTAGCACACTCCTATAATGCCAACACTCAGGAGGCTGAGGCAGGAGGATCATGGCAAGGTTTAAGCCAGTCTGGGATACAGAGTGAAACCCTGTCTCAAAAATCAAAAATTTAAAAAAAGCTCCTTGAACAGGTGCAAGGGTGACTTATTCAGGAGACCTTGCAGTCACCCAGCCAGTCTGCATGGAGAGAAGGAGAGGAGGAGATGAAATTGGAATGTTGAGTTCAGTTCAAACCAAACAACACTAGAAACAAACACAAAAGCCAGTGGTCTTTTCTACTTTTCTATACTTCTTGTTTTGCTGATTGCAGAAAATGAAAGATGACAGAGAAGAGAAAAGCCAGAACTTGGGGTTGGATTAAGCTCATCTGTTTGTAGCTGGTAAGGGAGCTGGCAGGCTTTCCCATATGAAAGTGGAGAAAGGAGAGGTGTTCTGAACATGAATGTGGTATGTATGAGCTTAACTGGAAGATGGGGCTGGAAGTACAATCAACGGTACAAGGCAAGGTCTGTGGTTCACATTGTATTTGTACTTGCTTATTTCTTGCTACCCTCTCCTCCTTCATTTCTTCCAGTCATTTGCCAGTAACACTGTGTGGTTGAGCTACAGTGCTGGAATCCACACCTGGACCACTCAGCAGGCAAACACACTCCCAGTCCTCATTTTAGTCAGGCCATGTGGTAGAGAGGACAAGGCTACTGAGTACACCCTCATAATCACAGTATGCTCTTCTCCAGACTCAAGTTATGACATCCAGCCACTCAACTTCAGTGCTTCTAATAATTGATTTTGGAAATAAACAGATTCAGTTAAGCTTAATCATTAAGTCAGCTAAGTTAAGAGACTCCTGGGAAAGTGAGTGGATCATGGGGGTGCTTTCCGCATCATTGTGTGGATCACAGTTTATGGCCGGATGTGCTGTCAGGAAGCTGGGCCCTGTTGGAATGCGTCTGGGAGAGTCTATCTCTTGCAGGTGCCCTCCTCATGTCTTGCTTCCTGTCCAGCAGGAGCTGCTTTGCACCACCTCACTCACCCACCCTGCTGTTTCTGCCCCAGAGCCAGTGTACCATGGACCAAACCCTCCAAAGCTGTGAGCCAAATAACCTGTCCTCCTGTAAGTAGCCCGTGTTGAGTATCTGCAAAGCAACAGCAAAGCTAACACCCTGATCCAAGCTCAGATCCTAACTCCACTAGCTCTAGCCTTAGGAGCTGAGCAGATCACTTCTCTGAAGAGTCTACTGATCAATAACATGAGGGTTACGTATCTGCCTCTCGGCATGGTAGCATGGAGTAAACCAGGCAGCCTGGGCAGAAACTTGCCATGTCTGGTAAACCACTGACTGCTCCTTAGTAAGATGGTGGCAGTATAAAGCCAACTGGAAATCTCCCATCCTGCACCTTGGGAATTCAACCCCATAGTTCACTTTTTATTTATTTATTTATTTATTTATTTAGTGTGTGTGTGTGTGTGTGTGTGTGTGTGTGTGTGTGTGGTCAGTTCAGCCCACCAAGGGGTGGGGCTGGCTGGCATGTGGTGCGCGGTCCCAGTGCTTTTTGCTTAGCTTGTTCTAAGGAGGTGCTTTAGACCACTGAGCCATCTCACCAGCTCCACAGTTCACTTTTAATAATTCTTCTCTGTTTTTTTAAAATAGATATATGTGTTGAAAAACTCAAAGTAGACAAAGAAAATATCAAGAACTACAATATCCTTACTCTCACTACTCAGAATTACCAAATAATATATTTGCCAGTATTTTTCGACACACAGAATCTTTCTTGCTTTCTTCTACCAAGTGGGAATCAAAACAAAAACCATATTCTGTTATGTGAGGTAAAGCTTGCCTCGTGAGTCCTTTCCAAAATCACTAAAATTGATGCATCATCTCCATCTCATGGCTTAGTCATGAATTAAATATCTCTGTATTATTAGATAGTTAAATTGTTTCCATTTTTATATTCATAAATAATACTACAATTAGTCTTAGCCTATCAATACTCATGTGCATATCTGATGGAGCCAGTTTTAGAGCAAACCTTTAAAAGTAAAATTACTGAGTTAACAGTCATTAATATTTATAAGTCTGTTGATATGATACTAAATTGCCTTCCAGAAAGCTTAGATCAATTTTCTGTTCCTCATCCTAACAACAATGCTCATCTCATTTGCAGGCACGACAACATGGAATATTGCCATTTTTTACTATTTCATAGCATTCATGAACTGTAGGTATCAATCTGTAAGGGTGATATTTAAGACAAGTTATTTATTTCTCCAGGTTTCTCCTTTCTCTTTTTGTGTTTCATAATTAGTCTTACAATTTTGGCCTAGGGTCCAGGCATGTAGCTCAGTGGCACAGTGCCTGCCTGGCAAGTGTAAGGCCTTGAATTTGATTCCTGGCACCAAAAAAACCACCAAAATTTGGCCCAAAGACAGGATAAAGACTTAACTTCCTAAAACTTGTGCAGGCCCTAGAAGGATCTCTATGCTTAGTGAAACAACTTCATCCCTCCTATCTAATTATTGGAATACAGCAAGAAATGTGTCAGAGGTCAACACACTGCATTAATACCCAAGACCTAGTTTCACATATTACAACTTGCCATCAGTTTGGCCCTTAGTCCCCACGAAGTGTTCCAAGAGCCTCTCACCCTCTTTCCGCTGAGTGTCCTGTCTGCCTACCATGGAAGTCAGAACTCTTCCTCTCTTCTGAGGCAGCCAAGGCAGCAAAGCCTGCCACGAGCCATGAGTTTAATTTACCTTCCTCAAAAATATTCTAGGGGCTGAGGATGTGAGAGCCCTGCCTGGCATAGAGAAGGTCATAGGTTCAAGGCCCAGCACTGCAAGAAAGGAAAATCCGATGGAGAATGAGCTGTACCTTTGCCAGGACTGGCGGGTAAGGAGAGCCAGCAGGAAGCCCGAGATGTGACCAATCAAAGGGAAGATGAAACTGATGGTCAGAAAGCTGGCATCTGAATTCCAGAATTCCTTTGACAGCACCACACCAGCGACTGTGACCACCAGGAGGAGGAGCCCACCAACAATGGCCCCGACCTAAAGTAAATCAGTAAAATAAGCACATGTAAACTTCTTGGGTTTCTTCAGTCTGTGATGCAAAATCTACCCAGGCTCCATGAGGTAGAAATGTCAGAACAATGAAAGGACTTTGAGAACACTAACTCCCCTTTCATTTTATAGTTCTCTGTATCCATGGTGGGGATGGGGGTGTTCCCCAGGGGGAGGCTGCACCCACAAACAGTATTGCATCCTAGTCCATATATACATCTAGTCTCCATACATACAAACCTATGATAAAGCTGAATTTATAAATTAGACACAAAAAATGATGAACAACAACTACTAACAGAATAGAACAAATGAGTCTGCTGTCTTCTGATCATGCCATAGATAATGAGACCAAAATTCCACAGGCAGGGGCCGGGGAGATGGCTCAGTGGAATAAGCGCTTCCCTGGCAAGCGCAAGGGCCTGAGTTCAATCCCAGGTTCCGCAAAAACAAAAAAAAAAAAAAAAAATTCCACAAGCATTGTAGACAGCAACTGTAACACAGACAATGAAAAAGCAAGGTCCTAGGGAAGCCTGGGCTGGCAAACATGAGCGTACAGACCCACGACTGTCCTATGACTTCCTGCTGGCACAAAGGGGACCCAAGTGAGTGAATGCTACAGAAAGGCTTTGTGACTGTCCTGAGAACTGGAGTTGCACATTGCACTGTCACCGCGTCTATGGCACGGAAACGATGAGCAGAGGGTGACTCACTTCTGGGCAGGGTGAAGCAGGACAGCCCAAGATTTCATCACACTGCTTGTCAGGAACGGTGTTCAATGGGAAAAAATAATATGAGTTGTCTTTTCTCGAATTTCCCATCAAACTTATTTTTAGACTGTAGTTGACTGTAGATAACTGGACCCGCAGAAAGCAAAGCTGTGGGTAGGGGAGATGACGGCATGGAGGAAACCTTGAGGTCCAAGCGGGCAGGTGACTTGGCTGCATCAGTACCTGGAGGGGGCTTGGGGAGCTGACATGAATCTGAGTCTCCTTTTGTGATCAGTATCTTTTCCCATAAAGGATCTGGCTGGAAGGATCAAGTGGTAGTTTCTTTTTTTTTTTTTTTTTTTTTTTTTTTTAACAATTAGAAAGTAAATTTATTTTTGCACTGTAGCAATAGAACTTTACATTTTGTTTGTAATATTTTCTTGATTTAAGTTTTAGGTCACATTGGGAACAATGTCTTTACATAGCTTTCGATATTCTATTCAGGAATCTTTTCCTAGGGTGATAGTTCCCTTAAAAATGTTGTGTATGCTTTACCTTTTTTAATACTCTGAACAGAACAAAGGGCCTTGGGAACTAGCTGACCAATCGCTGGCTACTCTAAATTGCATTAAGCTCAAGTTCTGTCTTCTCCAGATGTCTAACTTAACCAGGCAGAAGTATCAGCTTTTCCTTGATCATGAATACTCTTATAAAAGTTGAACAGTATTGGGCTGGAGAGATGGCTCAGTGGTCTAAAGCACCTACTTGAAACAAGCTTGGCAAAGCACAAGGACCACGGTTCAATCCTCCAGCACCACATGCCAGCCAGCCCCGCCCCCTGGTGGGCTGAGCTGGACACACACACACACACAATAAATAAATGTAATAAATAAAAATAAATAAATATTTAAAAAAAAAGTTGAACAGTATTGAATAAAGAGTTGGTATTTGTTAGAAACCAAAAAATCTTAACAAAAGTACTAAAATGTGAATAATAGTTTTCTGAATGCTCAAAGTACCTGATGTACTTTTAGAGAAAGATTAAACTTCACCAGAATCTAATAGTGAATTTTAGCCAAAGTTTAGAATATATTTTACAGAAAGATAATTTGGCAGTTCAGAAGTTACTTACCCTATACCATTAAAACCTTCTTAATGAAGTTTATGGAAATTCTTCTGCCTTTATGAATGTATTTGACTGTTTAGGTTACTGTGGCTTTCATGTTTATAATAACTTCTTTAGTTCAAACCTTAAGCTTGTACTCTTACATGTAACTAAAATATACTATGTTTCTATTAGGAAGAAATAAAAAAGCTGAAAAAAGAACTAGAAAACTTTGATCCTTCATTTTTTGAAGAAATTGAAGATCTGAAGTATAATTATAAGGAAGAAGTGAAAAAAAATATTCTCTTGGAAGAAAAGTTAAAAAAGCTTTCTGAGCAGGTTGGAGTGGAGCTAACTAGCCCTGGTGCTGCTTCCGAGCAGTCTGACGATGAAGAGGAAAGCCCTGTTGATTTCCCCATTTATTAAGTGTCACGTGTAATTGTAATCTTATTTAGCTATTTATTTGTTTCATATGTTAAAATTTCATCTGGAAATCAAGCAAGTCTGAACTAAGGAATTTCTTGATATTTTGTATTTTTACTTGGAGTTTTAGTAAATAAAACTGGAATTTTTAAGCTACTAGAATATATTTTTGAAGACTTTTAGAATCAGGACCATAAGACAGGCAGTGAGTGAGTTTCCCTATATTCATAATCTCTTTTTCTTAAAATATTAAAAAGGTAACTTTAAAATTTAAAATTAGAAGTTTTATATAACTTTTGTGTATATTAAGACTCATGTCCTAAACCTATATATATTTTATATATATTCATACACAAAAGTACACATTGAGTTATGAGATTAAGCCATACATTTGTTAAATGTCTAGCAAACATAAATTGAGCTTGACGTATATAAATTTTAAAGTGAATTACTGATTCATTTGTTATCTTCAAATTATCACCCACTTAGCATCAACAAAGTTCAACCTTTGTAAAACTTGGGAGCTTATCATTCATTGCCTTTTTATATCTAGGGACTAAAATTAATATATGGATTCTGAAAAGTTTTTGAACAAGTATGTACAACTGGAAAATTCATTTGTTCAAATGCTAGACAATATAATCATCTATTTCACAATAGACAAACTCTTGAAATATTTTTACCTTTTTAGAATGGCAGAATATTCAAGATTTGAAT